AAATGTATCCCACAAGCAACAATTGCCCATTTTCATACTATTATAGAGTTGTGTAAAAATGAAACATCTCTGTGCACAAGTCGGGTGTGCATTATGTCATAGTATTTGCTCAGAGCAGTTATCTGGGCCATGAGAGGATCTTAGGTGTGCTGGGAAATTTTTTAAAGATCATTAATTAAATTATTTTCAAAAGAAGTTCAAAGACTAGTTAAGTATCTTTTTTTTTTTTTTGATCAACATGATTTAAGTGTGCCAGGGAACTTTAACTATAGGTTCAAGTGTGCCATGGGATAAAAAGGTTGAAAAACACTGATTTAGAAGATGAGCAACTAAAAAGTTGGGGTACTTTCTCTATAAAGGGCCAGATCATACCTAATTGCGGTTTGGGGGGCCATATGTCTCTGCTGCAGTGACTCCACTCTGCCACTGTAAAGTGAAAGCCAGAGACCACAGGGAAATGAACAGGCATCTCTGTGTTCCCCCAAATCCTCCCCTTACCCAAACTGGCAGCCCCTGGATTTGGCCACATGCTCTCATTTGGGCCATACTATTGCTCTATTCCCACCATTTTTGCCGAAAAGAAGTTTCTTAATAGTCTGACTTGGGACTAATAATGTGGTTTTTTATATTCTTCTTTCTTAAGGTATCTTTATCCAGGTATCTCTGGAACAGAAATCAAGACCCAATCAAAACTCCAGATTGTGCTATGAGAGCCCTTTCCCTTCCCAGAATGCCCGATTTAAGCGGCCTGGGAAGGTACACTACCTTTCTCCCCTTTACATCCTAAACTTCCTTTAAGACTGACCAAATCCCTTGCCTTTTGAAATTGTGATCTCTGCTTTTCCATTCCAGGATGGTTTAGGTCACTTCCAAAGCAAGACCCCTAAGAAGGGACCAGCTGTTTGCTGATAGTGGTCACCTGAACACTTCTAACAAGTGGTGTTTGGCTGCTTATGATAGATGAAGAACAAGATCCTTTGCTTCCAGAAGAAATCTATGTTTGGTCTTAGGGTCAAAGCAAAGCGACCATTGTACAGGACAGTATCAGGACATGGCCTACATTATCTGTAAACAAAGCAGAGACAAAACCCATGTCCACCCAGCAAGGGACTGAGCTTAAGAGATCCTTGGTCCAGAACCCCTGGGCCCAAGTCTAGCCTGTGAAATTGATGTTTTTTAAGGAAGAAAAGAGTGTTTGCACTAAAACGAAACGTTCCTTAAAATCACCCCTCTGAGGAACAGAGACACACACCAACCACTAGACTTCCTATTAGCTACTAAGAAATCCAGAAAATGGCACTGACAGTTTTTCTAAGTGAATATGGCAGCTCCTGACAGGCCAATCACCTGTCATTTTAAAAAAGAGAAAGAGAACAGAGGAAAATACCAGCATCAAAGTCTAGAGGCTGGGTAAGATTCTGTGACTGCCAAGTAGTGAAAATGTGTAACATTTTAAATAACATCTTAAGCAAAGAATATAAGAGCCTCTGCCAAAAAGCTTGTCTAGCACAGATCAGTCACCAGCCGCACATTTGACAAGGCAGCTGATAGATAGCCCTGTCAGAAAATGCTTCCTGGGATGGGAAGGCAGGATGTGGATCTAAAAGAAACATTTTTGTGGGACCTGGGCTCTAATCTCTGAGGTCCAGCAGTCTGACCACTGAGTATTCACATGAGAGTGTAAGGGCCAGACCAGCGCCATTTTGTTGTCTACTGCATAAGCTCTGTTAAAACCGCAGGGCCACTCCCTACTGCCTCCCCCACACCTGCTTGCATAGCCACTGATTGAGACACCTTAGACAGACAGCTGCCATAATAGGCAATAAGTATCAGTTCCCTTGAACTGCTCCCATAATAGGCAATAGGTATCTACTTCCTTGAAATTTAGGCATTCTTCTTCCTAATTAGGCTACACCACCTCTAGCCCTGGTTAAGAAATCCCCTACCCTTCACTTGTACCAATCCAAGTCCTCCTTTACTGGTGAAATCACCAACCACCAATCAAGAGTATACCCGTAATGGACCCTACCCTTCTTGCTTTCTGTACCCCATAAAAACTTGCTCTACCGGGGCTCGTCCTCGGCTTGCATGCCAGGAGAGTCCAGGCTTCCCGGGGCCTGAATAAAATTCACCTTTTGCCTTTTACACTGGAGCGCGTCTCGGAATCGTCTGTTTGGGCTATTTGGGAGAATGATTTTCGGACCTAACAAGAGCTATTTTTCTTTCCCTAGTTCAAAGGCAAAAGTAGATACTAAAAATTGTGCTACAGTCCTCAGCCAGTCATTTTAAAAAACAGGATTAACGTTTTCCTATAGGGTATAATTCCTTAGTGCTTTTAATTCTTGAGGACCCTTAAAAAGTAGTGCTAAGTCTTTGGGAGGACAGAACATGGAGGGAAGGGAGAAAGGAAGGAAAGAATGAAAGAAGGAATGGGGGGAGGGAGGAAAGAGAGAGGGAGGGAGGCAAGCAAACAGAACCTGAGTGACCCTACAAGAGACAGAGAGCAGACGGGAGCTGACCCCAGGGAACACTATTCCAGGGACCTCTGAACAACCCCAACATGCAAGTCTCTGACAAAAAGAAGACAGGAACTTTATACAGCAGACATTTTTCCAGCTGGTACACAGAACTCCTCCAAAGCAAATGCTCACTTAAAATGTGACTTCCTAGAGAAAAACACAGATTGGGGGAGGAAGCAATTCTAAATGGACGTTTCCCCTTAAATCACAGTGAGTGAAGCCGAGAAGGAAGACCCTGAGGTTTTCTTATTTAAGGATGTCTGTCTTTGGCCCACCCTAAATCCGGGATGATCTCAGCATACGATCTTAATTACATCAGAAGAGATCCCTTTTCTTTGCTTTTTGGCATGTAAAACAGTGCCCATTATTTTTGAATAAAAATATACACATTGAAATGATTACTACAGTCAAGCAAGTTAACATATGCATCTCCTCACAGTTGCCTTTTTTATTTGTATTTATTTACTTACTTTAGTGAGAGCACCTGGAATCCATTATCTTCGTTTTCCAGCATACAGTGTAGTACTATTTATTAACCAAGACCCTTTTTCTTTTTTCTTTTTTTTTTTTTTTTTTTTGAGACGGAGCCTCAAGCTGTCCCCCTGGGTAGAGTGCATTGGCATCACGCTCACAGCAACCTCCAGCTCCTGGGCTCAAGCGAGTCTCCTGCCTCTGCCGCCCAAGTAGCCGGGACTACAGGCGCCCGCCACAACGCCTGGCCATTTTTTGGTTGCAGCCGTCATTATTGTTTGGCGGGCCCGGGCTGGGGATTCGAACCCGCCACCTTAGGTGTATGTGGCTGGCGCCTTAGCCGCTTGAGCCACAGGCGCCGAGCCCAAGACCCTTTTTCTAAGTGAGCTCTCACTCACTGGTTCCGGGGATGAGGACTTGAACGTGTCTTTCTGGAGGCTACTACTCCACCCACCCCCATCTCTAACAATCAAGAGGGAGAATATTTGTTCTTTCTTTTCTTTGCAGTGTTTTTTTGGTTTGTTTTTTTGTTGTTTTTTTTTTTGGCCAGGGCTGGGTTTGAACCCACCATCTTGGTATATGGGGCCAGCACCCTACTCCTTTGAGCCACAGGCACCACCCAATGTGTTCTTTATTTAAATTAACATGGACTGTGAACTCTACATTGTCTCCTATTATTGAAAGTCCCAAGACACCATCATGTCAGAGGCTGGTGTCCTTGGACGAGTCACTAAGCCTTTCTGAGCCTCAGCACCCTGAAAATAACACAGACAAATCCTGACCCAGCAGCCGGTGTGCGGGTTGACAGTGATTCATCTACAGTGCCTGCACCCCAAAACCTGTGGACAGGCCTTGAGGAAACAGCCACTTCACAGGAAAGAGCATTTCATCATTTCTTTACCTAGCCATTTTTAGGGTGTGTCTTGGGGAGGACAAAAAAAGAAGAAAAAATATTAAGATTACCAGGCTGGCCAAAATTAAATAATGATCAGAGCTGCGGGAAATTACGGAATTGGCATCATGAAGACAGCCTGTCCTCTGCCAGTGGGCACCTGTGACCACAGTTCTCCAATTATCCCAAGAATTACCAGCTTAAATATACAGTCTGCCACTGTCTGTTCCCTCTCGAGGGCGTGAACTGCATCTTAGTTGTGTCCCGAACACCCGATACCATCCAGGCACCTAACCCATAGAATAAACATTGATGGGAGGAAGGAAGACAGGAGTCGGGGTATTCTGGAAACTTCAGCTCTGGCAATAAACAACAACACGCTTACTGGAAGTCATGATGCTACGAGCTCCATATATTGAGTGGATTAAAGAAAATAATCCCTAACCATGGCTGATGCTCCGGAAACGTGAGTGCTCAGCATATCTGTCGACCCTCACTCCAGCTGATAATGGAGGCCTTCGTACTCCCATGGTACGCGGTGGGGACTCCAGCAGAGAGAGGGGACCTTGTACAGCTAATACCTGGCACAGCCAGGATCTGTCAGCCTCAAAACATCACTCTGCTCCTGATCCGTATCAGTCAGTCTTGGCTCTAAGGCTGGTCCTAGTTCACATATCTACGGTTGGACTGGGAGCTGGGGGATAAGTGTGCGCACACACGTGTGTGCATGTGTGTATCTATATACTTGTATGTGCACATGTGCCATACATTATACCTTAACTGAAGAAATAATCTGGACAGTGAACTGAGCAACAGAAGATCCCAGGGACGTGGCAAATTCCCTCACAGTCAAGTTTCTAAATCATACTCTCAAGGGGTAAAGTGTCACATTACGCTTTGCCCAGCTTTGAAAGCAACACCACAATGGTTCTACAAACTCCAGAGTCCTGTCCACGGGCTTACTTTTTCCTGTCAAGTATCTTGTTTCACTCTACGGTGCAGAGAAACAAACTATGCTTAATATCCACGTTCCAGTGCTTTTCTCTCCACCCAAATTCCCAAAGAAAGTGACCAGGCAACATGAGGGGGGTACGAGGGCAGCCCAGCCAGGGACTTACAGGAGGAATGGATGCTGGGGAAGCTTTTGCGGCCCTCGGACACCAGGTCGGGGTCCCCTGTGCAGTGCATCTCTGAGTTCATCACTCCATCTGGAAAGCAGCGGTAAAAGAAATCGGGGCGAGGTCTACAAAAGACACCATGGACATTTTCAATATAAAATGCTGCCGTCACAAACGACCCCACGCTGACCCCCACCACAGCCCACTGCCTCCCTCCCTGGCCCCCCCACCCCGTGTCCACACTGGAGCTCTCCACAGCACACTCTAGACAGGGAGGTGTGGGGAAAACTCGGGCTTTGGGGTTGGAAAGATCCGAGTTGCCACTTGCCACTTACTAGTTGTATGACCCTGGAACTGTCACTTAGTCTCCCCCAGCTTTGGTTTCCACATCCATAAAAAGAGGAACAAATACCGGGACCCCACAGGTGAGGTCCTGAGGAGTCAGTGACACGACCTGGAGCAAGTGGCTCGCCCTACAGAGGGCGCCGATGGCACAGAAGGTCCTCAGTGCCTCTCCTACTGCTCTGCCCACCCAGGACCCAAAACTCTGCTCCTCACAGCATTATGTCCTGAACTTGGGTGGCCACTTGCCACCTCAGGTCTCTCTTAACCTCACAGAGAAGACGTGAAAGCTCAGCTCTGTGATGTGAACAGTCCCCCAGGCTGGCTTCTCTGGTCCAGGGCAGGACAGAAACACTGCAAGGAAGAGGTGGGCCTGGGCCGGACCCTGAGCCTCCTGTGTTATCACAGCCACCTGCTGCTGCGCGTCTCCTGGGTCCCAGACACAGTGCTAAGCCTGGCACGCTCAGCCCACAGCACAGGTGTCCTGAGAACCCGAGAGCCAGCCTGGGGCTGTCTTCATTTTACAGGCCCAAGGTCACAACCAACCAGTAAGTGGCAAAGAAAACTCTGAACATGCCACACACTTCACTCCGCACTTCACTGACTGCCTCACTCAAGTGAGGACCTCGGGCAGGGGGTGCCAGCTGACCACTTCATATGACTCCAACTAACACTCACTGAACACGGGCCATGGGCGAGGCTTTGCTCATGCTGTAAGCACAGCGCCCTCTTTCTGGACACCTGAGGTCACAGATGACATACACGGACTCACTGGTCCTCTGACTCTGGGATCTAAGTAGGTCCTAAGTAAAAGGTGTAACAATGGTGCTCAGAGACAATGGCAGCAGGAGAGACATTGGGTCAGCTTTATTGAAAAGGGAGAAGGACCTGCCTGGGCAGTGCAAAGAAGGTACCTGTGCCCAGGGGCAGTTAGAGATCCCTTTATTAGAGCCATGGGGGGTGGGCACATCCCACAGGTTGCCTGGCAGATTAGGGTCTTTGAAGCAAACTTCTGGAGGCTGAGACGAGCCAGATCCTTTTTCTCTTTGTTTTAGGAGGAGAGAAGGTAGGGAGGGGAAAAGGGTCTAAGAGGGGCTGCCTTAGGCCCCCAGCACTATGTGAGGCCCCCAGACAGCTGCTGTGCTCTGTCTATCCCATTCTCGGCAGGTGTCTCTTCACCTGCCAGGACCTCAGAAGAGCGAGGCCTGAGAATCAGCTTGGCATCAGGGCCCCATGGCCATTCTAAGGAACATGGCAGCACGGGGTCACACACTGCCTGATTTTTATCCTTTCCCACCCCCTTGGTGCCTGGCCAGCACCCTGTACTGAGTGGATAAAATAAATGCTGAGGTTCAGAGAGAGGAAATAACCAAGGCCAAAAATTCAGGCTTTTGGACTGCTAATCTCTGCAGAGACTAGGTCTCCACCAGAGAAGGAGAGATAAAGGAGAACAGACACCATTGTTCAGGGGCAGCAAGAAAGACCTGCCGTAAGCCAAGGTTCAACCACCATCCACATGTCTCATACCAAAGAACAACAATAAATAATCTTAGGTATGCATTAGAGGCCATGACTGACGAGTGAATGTGTTTGGGGAGGCCCTGGCATGGCAGTGGATAGACCTAGAAATGCCAGCAGTGAACCTTGACCCACAGGGAAGTGCGGTCAATGTGCGGACTTCCTTACTGCTGGTCTCCTGCTCTCCAGAATGAGAAAGTGAGTCCATAACTCAAAGGAAAAGTCTGTGCTAAGGACAGAAATCCTGGAACGATAACAACTTAAGGAAAAACCAGATGAGCTAAAATCTGTCCCATCCCATGTCCTCTGGCCAGCATTCCTAAATAGATGACCTTGATAGTCTAAGTCTCCATTTCTTTTTTCCTTTTGGAACTTACCTTCCCACTATTAATTTAATAGTGTTTGTGCAGACTCCATTCAAAGCAAGGGCCAAGGACACCGCTACAAAACAAAACCGATAGAAAAGTAACCAGCTGGCTCTCAACTCAAAATCATCATCCCTATTATCAACATCATCATCATCGTTACATTTTAATATTATTTAATTAATAACCAGAGAAATACATATGAACAAATACTTTAAAAACAGAGGTAAGTTTGGGTTGTTAGAGCAAAATATAATTAGGACAAGAATTTGGAGAATGACTTATAAAATTCCAAGACCCTATGACATGAAATTTATCTCTTCTCCTTGACTAAAATTTTTACCATCACGGAGGAGCTCATCTATCATTTTCTGGCCTGATACGAAAAGATTTAATACTACAGCATACAGAATTTCTTTTTCTGGTAGCAAGAAACATAACTTTTTTTATTTTCTCCTGGCAAACTTCTCAGACATAATTCTAATCAGAGGAGCTGCTGGAACCCTCCTATAGACCAGGACGCTCCCACTGGGTGATTATCTTGATACTGACCGTCACCCACCCACAGCTGGCCACCTGTTATTAAACAGATCACTGTTCTGAGGAGGTGAAGAATCCCAAAGCCTCACCGGGTTTTTAAGAAGGTCTCAGGTGCTGCTTTTTGCCATCCAAAATAACAAGAACTTCTGGAATACATTATTCAAAAATATACAGCATCAGGGACTTTCTCCAATCACTTTGGAAAGACTTTCCTAGATGCAGCACAGATGGTCCAAAGGGGGCAGGCGACATGAGTCACAGAGTTCTCCCTGCACAAAGCCCGCACCTCTCTCCTGTGGTTTATGGAGAGTGCACAAAAGGCACAGTAATCGCCATCAATGTGACGGAAGGTCAAATGCTTTGCAGAAGCAATAAACACCTATTGATGCCCCATTCCATGGCTTTGTTGGATAGTAAAGCCTGGGAGCGACCATTTCCCTTTGGAGAATATGAACCGTTCAATGCTAGCTGAGATTTATGTAAGAAGATAGCAGGGAAGGGGCACTTTCAGGAAGGAACTGGCTAGAGCAATTCATCACCCATCCAGGGAGACAAATGTCTCGTTCCACAGGGGGAAAGTACTGTGGGGCGGCCAACAGTCACTCAGGTCTCAGGCTGCAGGGGTGGGAGCAAAACCCACCTGCTTCTAACAAGTTGTCAGAAGCAGAGAGAATGGGAGGGACAAGTTCAAACGAATGCCCTTGTCATAAGGAAATAAGTCAGGTCACCTGGGTGTGGGATGGGGAACAACTGGATGGATCTGAGTGTGGCAGTGAAGGGGGGGGCACAGAGCTGGAGGGCAGAACAGGAGCCAACAGCTAAGCGCTACCATTGAAACACCATTGGGGGCAGCACCTGTGCCTCAAAGGGGTAGGGTGCCAGCCCCATATGCCAGAGGTGGCAGGTTCAAACCCAGCCCCAGCCAAAAACTGCAAAAAAAGAGAAAGAAACACCACTGGGCAACAGCGGTGTGTAAATCAGAACTGGGGGGGTGGGGGGACGGGGGACTCAGAAAGATGCACAGACCCCGTTCTGCACACACAGAGCCTCCCTTCCTAAGTGCCAGCTTCCCTCCTCCCTGACAAGCTCAGATCACTGTGGGGAGGCCTCTCTTGCAGAAAGGAGAGAAAATCCCCTGGGCCATCGCTGCATGACAGTGAACAGGTTGTGCGAGGCCCTGAGGACTGTGGGCTTCTCTGTGTGAGGGTTGGCCTGGCTGCCTCGCTGCTGTGGCTTCCCCGTGGGGCTGGGCTCATTCTCGCCTTGGTCCCAGCACAGCCTCTCCGAAATCAGCAACGCTAGCTGATTTTCCCCATCACCCCACATGAATCTTAGTGAACTTCATACATAACTACACTGATCACTTCCCCAACCTCTGAGCCGGTGACCTCATCATAGCACAGACCAGTTCTTCAAAAGGCCCAAGGCAGCTGAGCTAGAAAATCTTCCCATCAATAGCTGGCAACTTCCCCCTCTGATCTACATAAGGAAATTGGTGACGGTGTTTAAGATGGAAGTCATTTCTACATTCTGGAAATAAACTGAACTGATTAATATTTTCACGTGAACAGCACAACTGACCAACATAGGGGCTTCTCACTGATGCCAGAGAGAAGGCTATGTTGGGATCACACCCACGAAAGACTAGACGAGCAGAGAAATATATGACCCCATTAGGGACACTTGCTGATTAACAAAAACCCAGTGGGTCTGGCATATAAGGGCTGTTTTTACAGCATCCTACAGCACTATGGGTTTAAGAGGAGGATCAGGTAGACACAAGACTGTGCTCCATAAAGAAGTCCAAAGCAACATGTCCTGTGGGTTGGCCTGCAAGCCGCCAGTGTTGAGGGCGCTGCTGGTTATTAGCCTTCTTGAAAATCAGAAGACTTTGTTGTTATTTTTCTTGTAGGAAATTTGGTCCTATAGTACTTTTATAACACAGACCTGATTATTCTGCAGCCTGAATTCCTAAAAGCCTGGTTCTGCAAGGGGCAAAACTCACTCTTCTTATCCAACACCAGACACACAGATGTGGCCGCTACACACATGTAGATAAAGGGGCCCTTGGGGTGCAGGTTTGGAAGCCTGGGTCAAGGTCTGCCAAAGACACCCACATAAAAAAGGAACCTGAGAAATCCTCCTCACTGAGCAAGTCCCGAATTCCAGACAATTGTTTAGAAAATCTATACCTAGTTTTCTGTCCGTGGTTTTTAAAGATCACTCCCACCCTCTATTTCCTTAAAAGCAGTGATCTTTTTAAAGCCTTCTGCACACGGAAGGCTCTCATTTATTTAGGCAAACAGAACATCCAATGCCTCTGCCTTCTCTGCTAACATCTAGGAGACAGAATATGATGTTCAGTTTTGAAATGTCACCCTAAGGGAGAGTTAGCTGAGAACGAAAAGTCTAGAGAAGGTATGCATGAGCCGCTTACTACCAGGACAACAGCCCAGCTCCAAAAGCCAGCAGTTAATTACAACCATGATCGTGAAAGACAGTTCTTACTCACAGTCACTTTTCCTGGGACTCCATGGCAGAAAGCCATAAAATAAAGAGATTTCCAGGTCAGCTGGGAGAGCTCCCAAAAGGACATTTTGGGGACTATTGGGATATCCATACAAACACTGCCTGGCCACTGCAGCCACGTGGGAGAGAACATCTGTGCCCTTCTTACAGAAACTGACCTTTCCCCAGATCAGCTGAGGAGACTGAAACCATGTGAGCAAAACCCCAAACAAGAGATGAGCAGCCTGGAGCACACATCTGACCTGAGAGGGGGCATCTACAGGCTGAGCAGAGATGCACGCCTTTTGTGTACAGCTGGAGAAATGAGCTGAGTCAGAGTGTCCATCTAGTTTCTGGTCCAAGAAACACAGTGACACTCAGTGATGGGCATCAAAGCTGGATGGTCAGGGCTGGGGAGCAAGCATCACAGCAAGCCCACACCTCACACAAACCAGAGATGTGGGGCAGCCAAGACAAAAAAGCCCAGGCAGAGCGCCAGGCTGAGAGAGCGAGGGAAAGATGGGAGGCACATCATGAAGGTGGTCATGAGTTAAGAGGGGTCTCCACTCTTCGTGGTCAGCTCCCCATTCCAGCCACCATGAGGCACCTGTGGACCTTTTTCCCCTATTCTTGGATTCTATGAGATTGCTTATTAATAGCTCTATAATTAAACCCCTAATTTATTTGAGCTAATATGAAAGGAATTCTGTTCTTTTCAACTAGACAGGGCCTACCTGAAGCCTGGTAATCTAAGACACAGTCTCTGTACTGCTGCAGGGCAGGAGCCCGTGGACTGCTCTGTACATCACACCAGCAGCTCACACTCGCTCCCTGAGAAAAGAGGGCCATATTTTGCTAATTTTTCATTTCCTCAAAGCTGAATAATTAACCACCATACCCTTCGGTAAGGACTCTCATTTTTCCCAATTTACGGCCTCAGTGAATTGTACACCGAATATAAATACACCAAAAATAAAAACAATACACCAAAAATAAAAACTGAGGTGAGAATTTGGATAACTCACATGAGCTGTCAAAATATCAACCTAATTCAGTTTCCATATGATTACAAAGCTGAAAACCTGCCACAGATTAATGTAATTTTGGTTTCTAAACAAGTCAAATGGTTTGGGCTCTCTTGATACTGTCATTTACTCAGCATTTGATTGATAAACACACCAGAAAAACAGGTTTAATCCTAAAATGTCAAATCCTTGTCACATGCAGACATGGCTCAGCTTGGGGAGAATTTATAACAGGGGTGTTATAACCAATTACAAAAACTGTAGCACACTTAACATAATAGCAATTGCTCGACTGCCAAATGTTCTCCCACTGAAGATGAGTTCCAGAGCGTTTTCCAGTTTGTGTTTTATTTTATTTTATTCTTCTGCCCATTTTTTGCCTCTCATCAATGCTGTTTGGTCAAGGAGTTCTGTGTTTGATTTCTGAACTACCCATGATGTGGACCTATTAGCCAGAAATGTAAGATCTGGACAGTTGTTGGTGACAAATTTGCTTTGCCTTACCACCAAGAGCGACCCACAGCTCTCTGATATGCAGACGAGCCACCTTACTATCATTCAGCACTGCGGACAGCGACAACAGGCGGCCTCTGAAAATTCCTGACTTTAGGACTGCCCGTTGGCTCTTCCCTGAGCTTAAAGTTTAACCCGTCTTGTTTCTCCCAAGCTTAATTTGACCAAAAGAAAAATAAGTTGGGTGCAACTGAGATTTTTTTAATTTAATGATCTAATTACATTCAGCCCCATTCCCTAAAGCAGGAACTGTGAATACTCTACCTAGGAAGGCTTCCTTAATTTCAGTCTTGTCAGTTCGCCGGATAATTTTCACCACACAAATAACAGCCAGGGGTGTGAGGAAAGAAATAGCCTGGAAGAAATAACAAACAATCCCTTATGAGGACACCAGTTTGCTATCAGAAGGGCTGACTGATAATTAGCTCCCATTACCTTCGTTGAGATCCACCAGTTGCATGATCGTACTGCACTCCTGACCTCAAACAAAAAAGGATGATTTATATCCATACTCAGAGAATACACAGACTTTAAAAATTGAAGTTCTGATTGTAGGTTATAATTGATTTGTAATTGCTGGGAGCCATGTTTAAAGTGGTGGCTTTTAAAATGGAAAAGAATGGTCTATAATTACGATGAATCATCTCTGCCAGTGACTCCCCTCACACTGTCCTCTGCATAAGGGGGAAAGAACCTCTGGCCTCCGGTTCCCATCTCTCCAGCAACCTGAGTGCGTGCAGGACTTAGTTAAAGTCAATCAACTCATTTCCTTTCGGTGTGCTTTTGTTGAATATTTATTCCTTCTGTAAAGCAGGGGTCAGTCCTTTTGCATAAACTCTGTACCCTCCCCCTGTCCCCTTTGCGCCGCATGAGACTCAACACACGTGCACTGAATTAAGCTGCTGGGATTCAGATGTAGTCAACATTCATGAAGAAACCTACTATGAGGCAGGAACTGGGAGGTACCGTCAAGTCCAGGGTCTCTCCACCCCTCCCGGTGGCTCTGGGACTGTCTCCTCCAGGCTCAAGGACCAGGTGATGTGCCCAGGGACACACACACAGGCCAGGCTTCAGAGACCAGCTTTTCTGCCTCCCACATTGAGTCTTTCTTTCCAGCTTTCCATAATTAGGAAGGTGTTTTTAAACATTCCAGGAACCAAGGAAAAGGCATTTATATTACTTCCTTATAATGATAACTTCTCAGGCTTTTGATGTTAGAAAAAACTGAACATCTCACAAATGGCCCAGCAGTAGTCAGTGGTGGGAGGGGCTGGGTTGGTGACTGTTAACCAACTACTGTTGACACGGCTGGTAATCTTCATCGTTGCTCTAATGACATGTCACTTCCTGGAGAGGAGCTTCCTGATGGACCCAAGGTGTGAATCAAAGAGGCTTTTCTTTTATAGAAACAGAATTCATGCACGTGAACAAAAGCTTTTGAGATAATTTTACATGCTTTACACACTTACTACAACCAGACTGCCAGAGCGCCAATCAACTCGGGGGACTCCTCTTGGGGAACTGTCTTCAGAGACAGTTTATGAGACACAAAAAAATCCTTCTCCAGACTTGCCAGTTTCTTCCTGACCACAAAGGGTAGCAACTAGTCTGACGAGCCTCCTTATCAGCTACAGCCAGGAATGACCTGGACTGCTTGGAAGTCACATAAGCCAGTCTCACAGCCTCAGAGGGTGTTCCAAGGCAAACAGCACAGGTGCCACAGGCAGGTGTGTGACAGGAGATTCTGACCTGAGACTGAGAAAGCAGAGAATTTGCCCCAGGAGCTACTGGGAAAGGTCACACTCCCTCCCGAGTTAAGACGTTCCAGTGAGTCTGTGAGTGTTTCCACAAGTTCCCCGGTGGCTCTCATACCTAAATCACTGCACAGCTTCGGAAAATGCTGATTCCCCCACATGTACCTCTATGGCAGGTCGGGGAATCTGTATTTTTTAATAATAGCCTCTCAAGTGGTCCTGACACCGGGGCTGGGGAATCACTGAATCCACACGTTCAGAGCAACAACTGTCGGGGGAGTATATTTTTTCACTCAAAATTGGAATTAAAGGATGAACCCCCAAAGCCCACACGTCAGGAAAACACCTTGGTCCCGGGGCAAAACGCCTCTAAACTGAGTCAAAGAGGAATAAAGAGAGAGCAAGCACCCCGCTCTCACTCAGCAAAGCCGATGGAATCAAACTCAGCGAAGATGCCTTCCACTCCTCAGACGGGCGGGGGCGCAGCTGAGGCTGGACAGAGGCACCTGCAGGTGGGCGTGGTCACGGCTACCTCCACATAGGTGTGGAGATGGAGGGCAAAACGGGCAGCCAGATTTCCCCTCGTGCTGTTTTTTCTTTCTGCTAATGTTTCCATGGCAAAATAAAAAATGTTTGAAAATCCTGGAATGAATCCATGTCGGAAGACAGTGCGTGGTCTGTGTGTATTAAATGAGACCCGAGGGAAAACAATGAATCCAGCCAAACAGTGCTCAGGAGGCAGGGAACGCAGCGAACTCTCCCTGGGCTGAGTTTTGCCCACCTGTTGTGAGCCCAGAGCTGCTGGATGCACACAGGGCGGGTACAGTAACAAAGGCTGACACCTACTGAGGACCGAGGAGGACCATGGTCTGCTCCAGGTGCTTCACTCAGATTAACTCCTTCTATCCCCACTGCAAGCCTAGGTGATGTAGGCTCCTCACTTAATGGACAGGAAGCATAAGCACAGAGAAGTTAAGCAACCTGCTGTAAGTCACACAGTTAATATGGGGATCCACTGAGGATTTGTGCCCAGGCTGCACTGCCCTTTTAACCAAAATGCCAGAGCAGGTCTCACCTTAGAAAGTAAACATTGCATAAAACATGCTACATGCTTTGCTCTGAGTTGGAGAAGGTGCTCGTTTCCAGGGCATGAAGAAGCACAGAAATGTCAGTGAGGGCTGTTCTGGCTTAACACCTACTACATGTTAGGGACTTTCTAATCCAGCAGTTCTCGACCTGTGGGTCACGACCCCTTTTTAACAATGAAAATACATTGCGGCATTAGGGAGGTTGAGAACCCCTGTTCTAATCCCTAATCCTCCTCTAACTACTCTGTTGGGGAAAATATTATCCCCTTTGTACAGATAACCAAACTGTACAGAGAGAGAGAGAGAAGTGAACACACAAGGGCGCCTGCTGGTGGACCTGGGGTTCTCCTGGACTCGGCTGGGTTCGCGTCCTGAATCTCAGTAATCTCCTTATACAAAAGCTTCATTTTACAGATGTGGAAACTGAGGCTGGGATAGATTTATGAACTGAACAACATTTTTGGAAGTGCTAATTGTGCTACACAGCACCCCCATGATAAGATGATCTGGTGCACAGGCTGGGAAGCTGCAGCTCTGGAAAGATGTGCGGGACAGACGGACATCCTCCCAGCCCTGACATTATCATCTCTGTGTCCTTGAGTCACTTAACCTCTTCACCTTTGCCTCTCAGTTTCCTCATCTATAAAACGGATATAATAATAACATTATCCACAAACTACTGTCGCTAGGATTTCAATTCACTAACGGCTGCTGAATGCTTCACACTAAGTGAAGGGTCCTAAGTCTGCCACCTCATTTCATGCTCTCAACACCCCGGGAGGGAAGTATTCTTAAAGCCCACCTTTTACAGACACAGAAAGTGAGGTCCCAAGAAGGTAGGTGATCTTCCAAATTTGCACAGCCTATATGGGGCCAAGCTGGGGATTGATCTGAGGTGGCCGACTCTGGAGCCCACACCAACGGCCCGCCAGCTGATTCCCACAGAGCTAGCGTCCAGTAATGCTGGCTGTTGCTAGTATTTCACTGTTTTCTGAAAAAGACTATTAACAAAAGGTCTAAACTATATACCAGTAAAGTGGCATCAGGACCTGTTACCAGACACACAGAATTAAAGCATTTCAGTTCAAGGCCACCTGTGTCCTTATGTACGAGGAGGGAGCACCTTTGAGTGAAGGATGGAGGCTGAGACAGGGAAGAGCCTAATTCCCCCAGCAGCCTGGCCCATATCTTGAGTGACCAGTGAGAGCCTACCTTGTGCCTCCACCAATGAAACCAACACAGAAGGGACCATCGCTCCCCAACCACTGCTGCCCCAGAAAGTGGGTCATCCCTGGGGCTGATGAGAGGCACAGGGCTGCCCAGGATGCATCTGGAAGATGACAAGATGTAAAGCAGCACGTCTGTAGGGGGACGGCACAAGGACGTCAAGGAAGCCAGAGCAGCCCCGACGTGGATGTTAGCCAGAGAAGAGCCTGTCAGGCATAACAATGGGCCCCAAGTGCCTTAATTTCTAGCATTTGACAGAGAGGTGTGCTGCAGAGTGACTACAAAGACAACTTCAGGACTGGCAGACACCTAGAGAAGGCCCTGCAGTGGGTAAACAATTACATCCGTCACAAAGAAATGAGCTGTCTAAGACTTTAAAAGAGCCAAAAAAATCAAACTGTCTATCACGAGCTAGCTGTGTCTCCTTTCCTTCCTTCCGCCCCCCGCACCCTGCAAACAACTTTATTTCTGTCTTCCTTATGAGCATCCTATTCCGGAATAGAAATTACTGCTATCAAATCTCTCTCCCTGAGAACAGATCTGCTGCACGTGTCATAGCCGAAGCAAAAGGATACAAGGGCAAAGGGTAGGTCTTGGGTGGATTCCTGTTAAGAGTCCAGAAAAGAAACTGTGGATCACCTATCACTTCCTCAGCTCCCTACCCAGTCTTCCTCAAAGGCTCTCCAGGGATGGTGAACTGTCCAACATGTTCACGTCTGGACCTCTTGCAAGACTAGAAGCTGAACTACCTTCAGTCTCGTATCCTCACTACCTGGCGCCCTGCTTTGCTGGTGGCAGGTGCTCCATAACTGTCCATTGCCTTAGGTAATTAACTAACCTGAAACTGCCCTCCGTCTGGGTCGATCCCTGCCTCCTTCTGTCTTTTTGCCCCACAGATACATAAAACAAACTCCTATTTCCTGGGTCTGGCCAGCCCCTGCTCTCTGCGTCTGCCTGCACACCCCTCCTCACCTCTCCTCACCTCGTGGAGGCCCCAGGGAGGCGTCACAGCACCATGGCTCCCAGCGAGGGTTTCATTCACCGCCAGTGCTCACGTCCCCATCCAGCCACTGCTGCTCGTGTGACTAATCTCATTAGTTTCATTTTCTCCAGTGCCGTTATGAGGTTAACAAAACTGACCTGGAAGGATTCTGAGAAGGATTAATTGGGATGCTGCTTAGAAAGTGATAAGCTCAGTCCCTGTACCAAAGAAACGCTGGCTGTTATTGTAGTTCATGATGATGATGATGATGGCGGTGACGATGAAGCTCCCTCAAAGTTGATCTGAGCCTCTCCTCTGGCCCTTTCCAGTCCAATTCTGTATTAGAGTACATCGAATAGAAACTGTGGGCCACCTGTCACTTCCTCAGCTCCCTACCCAGTACCACCCTGGGTAGGGAGCAAGCTCCCTGAGGGTACCACCCCAGTCGGATTCAACTTCCCATCAGCTACGGCCCCCATGTTTTCCTTGCCCACAGCAGACTCCCTGGAAACCCCCCGGATGTACAAAGAGAAAACGACATGTGTGAGAGACGACAAGGAAAAGCATACTGAAAAAGCAACAGCCAATACTGATTGAGCTGTCTTACTCCAAGAAGGAGGTTTTCAAAGATGTTCTCATAAACGCCACACGCTCAGCAAGGAGCCATGACCTCTTCTGAATAAGGAAGCAGCCTTCCGGAAAGGCGGCTGACTGCTTGGGGAAATCTGGGAAATGTTAAGAAAAGATTCAGTGCGACTGAGAAGAATTCACAGCCAGTTTCTCTGGTCAACAAGAAATCTTGGACTCAAACAGTCCCAATCACACCTAACTTTCATGTTCATGGACATAGTTCCTTGAGCTTATGGTGTCACAGACAGAGACAAAGCAAGTTAGGCAGCTTCCTGGTGACATGATTGCCATTTACTCTGCACTTAGCTCAACCCCCCCCCCCAACCATTATTCTGTTAATTTTCTTGTAACATTTGACCAATTGGTTCCTGTAACATGCCCCCCCACACACAGGACTCCAGAAGCACTAATTACCCAAGAAAGAAACATCTGGGTCGATATCTGCTGCCTTTAAAAAACACCTTTGCTGGAAAGTTAGTTCGCCCTTAGATTAAAACATTCCAACCGAAAGTATAAGAGACCCCAGGATTTTATTTACATTATCAAATAACGAAATTTGAGCTTTCAAAAGGAATCAGGGTATTTTAAATGTCAGAGAAAATATATGTTCTAAGAAAAACCCTTCTGCTAACATCTGGAGGTTTTAAAGGATCAAAGGCAGACAAATGATATATTAAACTCTCAAAACTCAGGAGAACAAATCTAATTTATGTGATGACAAAGTGTTTTTTATCTTCGTGTTGTGGGTATTATGAATGTATCTACTGTTTTCCTTGTTTTATTACAGAATGGCTCTAAATCCTGTGACCAAATGAATGAAATTCATCAAGTACGATTAACGAAATAAAAGGCTGAACTTATTTCATTAGGAGATCAGAGGGTATGAATCAGGGAGGGTGGCTGAAAATGCTTCTGATCTCAGGGCAGCACAGCCCTGAATACCTCCTCCACTGCCTAATTCCCACCTCCGCCGACATGCAAATGGCTCCACCCTACTTGTGTCTGCGGCCGGCTGCTGTGTGTACACTTCAAAACGATCCATTGTTCACAAATCTAGGACATGGCCGCAAATGTCTCACAATATTCCATTCGAACGTTCCTCTCCAAATTGTGTTTTACAGAATATGAATTATTAAAATCTTGTGAAAAATGGGGATAAGGGATAAACAGAAGCTCCCCCCATTAACGTTATCAAAGTCATTGAGTGAACTCACTAGGCACACGCTGATTTCTTTATTTCTAGGATGTCTAGAAGATTTGAGTTGCAGCAGAAACGGGTAAAGTCTGATTTTAATTCTCAGGTGCTAGAAATGCCCTACGCATAACCATCTTAGTTTCTCAATTCCCATGAGATTTATAAAACTCTAGTTTATTTTGCTGTAGAAAAGTAATTATTAAAAAGCCATGATAATACTTTAATGCTTGTGTGGTGTTACGGGCATTTCAAAGAGTTTGCAGACACAAAGATCTAACTATGGCTAATTAGCAAAATTTCCTCCCTAAAATCAGAAGGATCCTTTTCAAAATGCAAAAATGTCCTTTGTGTGCTCTATGAAAGTTCTGGAACAGTTCCCAGAGAGGCATGAGCCACAGCGTGGGGTCAAGAGGAATGACCTTCAAGCTGCGCTAGGAGGCTGCCCATCCAAAAGTTACATTACTGCTCCCTAACAAAGGGAGCTTGGATATTTCCCCTGCTCCAGAAAGGTTTGATGGCAACTCTCCAATTCTCCAGGGGTTAATTAACATCAGCGAGGAGTAGCAGGCGCTGTCCCCAACCCACCAGGCAGACTCTGGGCTGACAGCTGAGCTTCACAGCCGCCGGCTGCTTGGATCTGGAGCTGCTGGTCACTAACCGTGGCTTTGGAGAAGCTCCCCCCTTTCTCATAGAGGAATGAAGTCCTGACATCGTCCTCACTAGGATGCTGAGTGGAACTAAATAAGATAATCCTCCCTTAAGCTCTCAGCCATGTGCCTGGCACAGAGGAAGTAAAGTGTAAAAGGCTGCAATTACCATACCCAGTGGGGGGAAAGGTTAAAAATAACCCCAGTGTCTCCACCAACTGTGAGTGGCTGCCCATTTATTCTACAAGAACGGAGACACGAGACATCTCTAGAGGTTGAACCACAGGCTGGTCTGTGACCAGCTAACATCAGAAATGTGGTTAACACAGCCATCTGTGGGGCCTCGGTTTGGCAAAAGCCAGGCTTATGCTAAAAAGAGAAGAGACAGGAAATTCTGGCCACTGGCTTCTCATCTTCCTTTACTGAAAATATGTGAAAACAGCTCGGTTCAGATAAGCAAGTCCCTTCTCATTCCAAAGTGATGGGCAATTACTACTTTTCACGTGACCCAAGCAGCTCCCATTGTGACAGGGAATTGAATTTGTTTTTTAGGTTTGGTTTTGTTTTTTGAAACAGAGTCTTACTCTCTCACCTCAGGCTAGAATGCTGTGGCAACATCGTAGCTCACAGCAACCTAAAACTCCTGGACTCGATTAATCATCTTTCTGCTTCAGCCTCCCGAGTGCTGGACAACTGGTGCCCACCATGACACCCAGCTAGTTTTTCTGTTTAGTAGAGATAGGGTCTAGCTCTTGCTCGGGCTGGTCTCCAACTCCTGAGCTCAAGAGATCCACCTGTCTAGGCCTCCCAGAGTGTGGGGATTACAGGTGTGAGTCACCACGCCCGACCAGAACTGAATTTTGATGTAACGGGCCTCTCGCCTTCTCCTCGAAGACTGCCCACTGTCTTAAGCAGGGCTTAGAAAAACAAAGGCAAAACCCAGCTGGTTCCAAATGTGAGAATGGTCAAATCAGCCATGAAATCATGGTACTTACAAACATGAGGCGCGTAGGTATGTTGTCTGATTGCACCAAAGGATTTTTATAGAGCCAGATCTCTTCCGGCTGGATGACTCTCTGGAATGGGTCCAAAAACTCTGTAAAACTGAAACGAAACAAAGAAAAGTGTGTGAAGGCTCAGCTCCTGCTGCTTCTGTGTTGGCCGACAGTTCCCAAGGAGACCCACTCTGGCACCCCTGGGGGAGAAGCTGTTCTGGGGAAGGGTGAAATAGGCCACGTGGCTGATGGCCCCTGGCCAATTCAAACTGGGGAGAGACAGAAAGAATTACTGAGACTTTTTTATTTTATTTTTTTAATTTTTTATTAAATGATAGCTGTATACATTAATGCAATCATTGGGTACAGTGTGGTGTTTTCATATACAATTTGAAATATTTTCATCAAACTGGTTAACATAGTCTTTATGTCATTTTCTTATTGTGTTAAGATGTTTATATTCTACTTTTAGAAAGATTCACTTGTACCCTTGTAAGATAAACTATAGAGGTGATCCCTCCAATCACCCTCCCTCTCCCCATATTCTTAGGCTATAATTAGGTTGTAGCTTTCATATGAAAGCTATAAATTAGTTTTATAATAGGGCTGTGTACATTGGATATTTTTTCTTCCATTCTTGTGATACTTTGCTAAGGAGAACATTTTCCAGTTCCATCCATATAAACATGAAAGATATAAAGTCTCCATCTTTCTTTATGGCTGCATAGTATTCCATGGTGTACATATACCCACAGTTTATTGATCCATTCGTGGACTGATGGGCACTTGGGCTTCTTCCATGACCTGGCAATTATGAATTGGGCTGCAATAAACATTCTGATACAAGTATCTTTATTGTAATTCAATTTTTGGACTTCTGGATATATACCTAATACAGGAATTGCAGGATCAAATGGCAGGTCTATTTTTAGTTCTCTAAGTGTTCTCCAGACATCTTTCCAAAAGGAACGTATTAGTTTGCATTCCCACCGGCAGTGTAGAAGTGTTCCCTTTTCTCCACATCATCAAACTAAAGAGCTTCTGCACAGCCAAGAACATAGTAAATAAAGCAAGCAGACAGCCCTCAGAATAGGAGAAGATATTTGCAGGTTATGTCTCTGACAAAGGTTTAATAACCAGAATCCACAGAGAACTCAAATGTATTAGCAAGAAAAGATCAAGTGATCCCATCTTAGGCTGGGCAAGGGACTTGAAAAGAAATTTCTCTAAAGAAGATAGGCGCATGGCCTACAGATATATGAAAAAATGCTCACCATCCTTAATCATCAAAGAAATGCAAATCAAAACTACTTTGAGATATCACCTAACTCCAATAAGATTAGCCCATATCACAGAATTACTGAGACTTTGTAGACTTTTCAGTCACCACCTGCCAGCAAGGACCAATTCTGTGCACCAGGGAATAGCTGTGAGGGTGTCAGACAGGCTCTAAGGACTTGGTTCAGCAGGGCAAGGCCACGCCAGCAGCACAGTCTGAGAACAAAATGGACTTGAATTGGAACAAAAGTGACAGAGCAACTGGTTCCCCTGGGGCCTGTCCAGTTCTAGCCCTCCAGTTCCCCAGCCAGCACCACAACTGGGGGGCAGAGTGAAAATGAGAAGAGAGAAGATAGGAGAGAAATCCAGGGAAGAAGAGAGGGATGAGGAAAGGTGTTTTCTGTGTGTGGACGTGACAGCCGTTGATACTGGAAAAGTGGCACTCCAGCCAGCTCAGCCAAGCAGGGCTGGGGGACCTGCCACCTCTGTCTTGGTGGCAGCAGTTGACAAAGGAACTGGCAGAATGAAGCAAGTGGGGGAGCTTCCCTCCCCCACCAGAGGCTCCAGTAGAACAGCACTAGAGGACCTGCTGGCTCTGCCTTGGCAGCAGCTGGCACAGAAACTGGCAGGCTGGAGCCAAAGGGAGAGCTTTCCTCTCCCACCAGAGGCTCCAGTAACAAAAAAGACCTGGCTGATCAGGGGAAAACACTGGCAATTCCTCCAGTGCATCCCTGATTGGTCCATTTTCAATCCTGCTCCTGACTGGTCTATCTTATAGACCAATCAGCTAAGCTTTCAGCTCATTGGACGACTACCCCTATATAAGCCCCTGAGCAGAGAGCCTAGGGGCAGATCATCCCAGATCCTTAAGGAAGATAGAGCAGAAGAGCAAATACCTCAGCAGACTGTTGCAGACCTCTGAGGGAGAAAGAGGAAGAGCTGTAACACTTATACCCTGCTCTGTAAGGAGGTTTGGCTCTTTGTAAGAGCTGTGACACTTATACCCTGCTCTGCAAGGCGGCTTGGCTCTTTGTAAGAGCTGTGACACTTATACCCTGCTCTGCAAGGAGGCTTGGCTCTTTGTAAGAGCTGTAACACTTATAGCCTGCTCTGTAAGGAGGTTTGGCTCTTTGTAAGAGCTGTGACACTTACATCCTGCCCTGCAAGGAGGTTTGGCTCTTTGTAAGAGCTGTGACACTTACATCCTGCCCTGCAAGGAGGTTTGGCTCTTTGTAAGAGCTGTGACACTTATATAAAACCTATCTTATCCTGTTCTGCAAGGTTTGGCTCTTTGTAAGAGCTGTAATAATACCTCTGTAAATAAAACCTAACTTACTGTCCAACCTGTCCATCGATTCATTCATCAAATCATCGAGACCAAGAGCCTGGAAATCTAAAGTCAAAAATCCGGTATCACTGTGAGCATCCTACCTCCTCAGCACCACAGCCTCCCGACTCTGCTCACACCCTGAGGACCCGCATAGTGTCTTCACTGGCTGGGGGAGGAGTGGCCGTTGCCATCAGAAGAAACCCTGAGGGTGGAGGGGCAGAGACTGAGTCTGCTCTTTCAGACCCCGGCCATCAGGGCCCTGCCCAGTCCCTACATGGGGAGGTAGGTCAGCAAGTCCCCAGCTGGGGAACACAGAGGGACAGAACTGTGCCAGTGGAGCCAGTTCAGACACAGCTGGAGACAGCAAACGGCGCCAGGTCATCGGGAGCTTCAAGTGCCAGGCTAAGGCATTTCCGTTTTGAGCCACTGAGAGATCTGGCAGAGAAGATGGGGTGGCAATTCAAACGATGGCCCTGGTGGTGGTGGGCATAGGAATGGGCAAAGCAGCAAAGGGCAGGCAGGAGGGGCCGGGGTGACAGCAGTAATCCCGGCAAGAGACGGCCGCAGGGTGGAGAAGGGAAGGCAGCGTGAAGAACATGCAGGCGGGCAGGCTGTGCTCCCGGGGAAAGGGGTCCCAGGGAGCAACACAAGCTGCGTGCACAGGGGCACACAGGAGCCGGGTGGAGGAGCTCAGCTCTCCCCTCCTCCTCCAGGAAACCGTCTCGCTCTCAGGGCTGGCAGTCCCAGTTTCTTTGACCACAACTTTCCCACAACTTTTTCATCACTGAAAGTCCTGTATTCCAGGAAACCCCTCAGTCTCAGGCAAACTGAGACTGTGGTCACCCTAAAGCCGTCCCAATCCCCTGACAGAATCAGGGGTCTCACAGTCTGTTTCCATCCCTGACATGGGACCTTCTACGATTATGATCTGCTTGTCACTTCAGCTCCCCTGTGAGGGTGGGGAGGCCAGGGCCCTTCCAGTCTGTCCAGTAGAATGACTGGCCCACATGGAAGCTCAGAAACCACAAAATTCAAAGTCTGCTGGGGACTTTGAACAGACGCCACAGAAAATATTCTCAATTTCACCAGCCTCGCACTCTATTGTGTATCTAAAGGGACCTAAAATCCACCTGTCCCGTGTGTCTCTCCCTCCCTCCTTCCCTTCCCCCTTCTCATCTCCTTCAACTGTGAGATTTCAAGTTCTGAATTCTGTGTATTTATGTACCTTCAAGAAGAGCTGTTTGCATGACTGTCCTGCTCAGCACTGTGTGTGCAATGCCTCTGCCAGGCACATGGGAGTCACTTGTCACTATTTGCCAGAAGGCTAATGGACAGTGCCAGCATCACAGAACCCAGCCAGCCCTTCACCAATCCTGAGCCCAGGGCATTTTTACTGCAAAATCTTATGTAAATTCACTGAGATCCAAGGAGAAGAGACTCTGACTTAACTCTCCTCATTAATGACTCTTCCGCCCACTGCAGGACAGGCTCTCAGATCAAACCCAGCAGCATTTGAATCCCAGCTCCAGCTGTGTGGCTCTTGGTGAGTCCTGTAACACTTCTGAGCCTCAGTTTCCTCATCTGTAAAATGGGTACACTCTACAGAGTTGGAATGAAAATTAAATGGAAGAATGTATGGACCATGCCTAACAGAACATGAGTAGAAGCCAGGATTTCATTATCATGATCCCTGCAGGTTTTTACTAAGCAGTTTTCAGGCTTTTGTTTGATTTTGTAACAACCTACTCCCTGCTCCCAAGTGTTTTCAAGTTTTCTAAATGAAATGAATGAAAACGAATTTTGTTTGAGACATGTTTTTAAGAAGATGTAACCTACCTGTGATAACTAAAGTTTCCCAAATATTCTAATTACTATAGCTGCACAAAATTACCCCCAGAACATGTTATTTTGTTCATGATTTTGTGAATCAAGGAAGCTGAGGAGGGTTCAGTTAGGCAGGCCACTTAGTCTCTCTCATATGGGCCACAGTCAAACGCTGTCACCTGATACCAGCTTTAGTTGGAGCTGCCATGGGGCCACCTGCACAAGCCTCCCCAGCACTGCAGTCTCAGGGGAGTCAGGGCTGCCCAGAGCAGGTATCACAGGAGAACCAGGCAGAAGCTGAGTGGCTTTTCCCACTTTAGCCTTTAATCGTCATGCAGTGTCATTTCACCCCATTCTGAGAGAGGGTGAGTCTTAAGGTCAGCGCAGATTCAGTGGCGGGGAAGGGATTCCACCTCTTGATTGGGGTGTCACTACAGAAAACCAAGTGGAAGAGGGATATGCCTGTAGCCAGCTCTGAAATACATCCTGCCACCCACAGGGTCTCATTAACACCATGCTGGTCGCACAGCCAGCCCCCACTCGGAGAGACCCCGAACCTTCATTCCCAGTTCTCCCCACACAGCCGGTCACAGGCCCAGGGAACCGGGCACACCGCTGAGCGCCTCCTTCCTCCCCTCGTCCGTCCCCCAGGTTTTACCATCTTCACGGCAAGTTTT